TTAACAAATACTTACACCCTACTCATGGATGACTCTCTTCAAGCAATTTGCCGTTGGCATATTGATTTAAAACGGTTCCATCTGGTATACCTTTATTAATTCCAGCGGCATAATCCCTTTGCCAAGTCATCATATTAGCACACTCATTTTCAAATTTAAAGTCCATAATGGAATATTCTTTAGACACAAGAGTGCAAACATCATTGATAAGTCGCCTCAAAAACTTCAACTCCAACTCAATTGCCTGGTAAAATAAATAAATACAAATTTAATATATTAAATATAGAATGAAATTAATTGTAATAGCTAAACTTTACTCATAGCAACATTTATATCTTTTGTTTGATTTAATAAATCTTTCAACCAATCTTTTCCATATATGTTCCCAACGCTATCTTCCAATAATGCACTGCATAGCATAATTAAAATTAGTATTGAAAAAATTGAAAAAAATTTAGTATTTAAACTAATAATTAATTTTATTTTTATTTTTACCTCGATTCATTCTTCACTATCCAATTTCTAAATATCAAATACTTTTCCATAGAATGGTCTTCCAAAGGATAATCTCTAGACGACGAAGATTGTATTTGTTTTCCCTTCCTTTTCGTCTCTCTTCTAAACATTTCAAAACTTCTGACGTGTTCAGACGTAGACACATTCTTTGGTTGATCATCAAGAGTTAAACCTCTACCAATAGGAATGTCTTGTTGTGTACAACTTATAATGACTTCCATGTTTGATTCCTAATCAGATAATTTCTTCAATAAGTTATCAGTTTGTTCATCAACATAAGATCGCACAGAACCTACACTAGTATTCACATAAGACTGCATGCTCTGATGACGATATTCTTGTTTCTGCGATTCCTCAACAACATGTTTATCAAACAAACTTGATAATGAATTGTTCATATAAGAATGCATACTAGACTGTATGTAATCATGTTACCATTTCTTCTGTTCTTCAAACAACTGTTTTTGGTTGTTAAGAATCGCATAGTAATTACCTTTTGATTCTTCAAGAATTTCAGCATTCAAATTGTAACATAAACCAGACCTATCTGATATGATGTGTTGCCTATATATTCTCAACATTTCTTCCATTTTTTTTTCAGTTACATAATTGGAACCACCAGAAGCAGAACTATACCCAGCTCCAGTAGAAGTTCTCGGAATACTGAGAACAGTTGTTTGCTGCACATATATATTATCCGAGAATTCTGGTACTACATTATCTAATTGCCCATTCACAATATCATCTAATATATTATGTTCATCGTCCACTAGCAATGACAAACTTTTATAACATGATGTCTGTAATTCTTCTTCTGTAGGCTGCAACATCGCAATTACTTGGATCTGTAATTACAATTAAACATAAAAATCATTTCGTTAAATTTAATTTTTAAATAATTAAATGCAAATATATTTGAGCATTCATGAAAAAAACATATCTTTTGAGCAGCCAAAAATTGTTTAACCATTTTTTCGTTCAATATTTTATTAGGCTTCTACTTGTACATTCGAGGACTTTGTGCCATTTTATATTTACAACATCTATACAAATAACTTATACATAATAAATCAATAAAAGAATACGAAAAAATACCTGAAAAGCTAGTGGAAATCATTGTAGTGCATACTTACATTCTACTTGTTCATTTCATTGCATCCTTACTATTCTTTCAAATTGTGACTCTTTCAAAGAACTTAACAAAACAAAACATGCTTTACGACCCACGGATACGCAAGAAACTCATCAAGATACTCAACCATACCAAGAGTTCTATAATGAATTTGTCTTGAAACTGGTTTTAACACACACTCTATCAACATAACTTAAATTTATCCCGATGATCTTCACACATGTGAAATGCTTCAAAAAGCATTCTACTCATAATTCTTCTTGTGTCATCAAAGTACTGATTTCTAAGACGATCATTACTATAATCAATTTCCATGAATGATTCATGGCAAGGTAATCCAGTAATCAAGCGGAATTCTTGCAAACCAAACCTAGCAACATGGCCAACTAACCGTACCGAAACTTCATTATTTTTCCCACAATTTGCGAGTCTCATTATAAATTCATGTACCAATTTACTACTAAATTGTTCTCTTTCTTCTCTATAAGCAGCTCCATAAATAAATCCATAAAAATGACTACACATCAAAGAACATTGTTAATCTGCTTCTATGAACTCTACAAAATCTTTCCGATATCCTCGATTTGGATATTGAATAATTGTAGCAAAAAACCATTGGTCTGGAGAAACTATATATTCTAGAGACATCTACATTAATTATTCAAAAATAAATATTCATAAACAAATCTAAAAATTAATCTACACAAATTATTTAAAAATTAATATTCATGAGCAAATCTAAAAATTAAATCAGAGAAATGTTATTTATAAATAAATCAACAATCCAAAATAAACAAATGCAACAATAAAAAAAAAAAATTGTCTTTGTTACAGAAACACCCATCTCCATCTCACGGAGGCGAGCTTTGTGTCACGGAAGAGGGTTCTCTCCATGACACAGAGAGCTCCTTCTCCGTGTAACAGATGCACACGCACTCCTTGACACGGAAAGCTTAAACAAAAATAAGAAACAAAAATATTATATAAAAAATCATCAATTCCAAAACCAAACTTTAATTCTCCACGATATATTCTCATGCCACAGTATAAATCTCTAAACGGTTACATTAAATGGTTACCTTTTCCAGCCAAATTTTCCAGCACAGTATGTGGGCATCTTATCCGTCTAAAATTTGTGGACGTCAATATGAGAATAGGAGAATGACCCTTCAACTTTAAATACAATAATAAATAAGTTGTGTTTTGTTTTCTTGTAATAATTGAATCCTTTGAAACTTTTTACACATAATACATATACATAATTTAAAATTCAATAAATTTTCTCTTCTTTCAACGTATGGACCACAAGATTCTTTTGCAATTTTTAGAGAATCTCTTCACAAAATTCTGACCTTGATAATGACAACATCCTTTACATGATTTTTAGGTAACAAATATTAAGATGTATGCTAACAAAAATTATAATAAAAATAATTGGTTACATTTCTATTTATCCATTATTATAATTTATTTTAAAATTTTAATAGTAAACACTCTATTGTAGGACAACTTGACTTCTTGAAACAAACGATCTAATCCAAAATATTCCACGTTCAAAAGCTAACTCTATTAATTATTTAGTTTTAAAATGATTCATTACAAAATCTAGAAATAAATTTTATATAGTTTTACTCATCACATATATAGGTAATTAATGAAGTCCATAAGTTAATGAAATAGTAAAAAAAAAAAAAAAAAAACCAACACATACATACAATAATAATCCATACATATTAATCATATATTGACAAGAAAATCATTCTAAAAACAACATAAAAAACTAATTTCAAACTACAGATTTGACATGCTAAAAAAAGGTCCAAAACACTCTCACCCGTGCATTGCATGGGAGAAACACTAGTTTAATTAAATGAATAAGAAATTTTGCAATGTTATTGTTCGAGATCATAAAACTAGCAATTTACATAAAAATCATATAACAAGAATTGTCTACATACAATCACCAACAGGAATTTAGATTGTTGGAAAAAATAAGTAATTTGTATGTAGATTTTTATTAATTAACATAATCAATTTTATAACATAAACATAATTCAACAATAATATAACATAAAATGGAGAAGAGATTTAGAAAGCAAGCCTTAGGAATCCGTCGAAGATGGTGTCCTAAAATCATGTTACCTTCCCTTCGTGCGGGTGATTTTGGCACTACAATACTCCAAGATAAAACTTATGTAGCTCACAACCAGTTCCTCTTCTATGAGCACAATCATTAGGAGATAAGTGAACGAACATTTATCAAGTTGCCAAAAGTATATGAATATAAAATGCACATGGAGAACTTTCAAACAGTTTTTAAGATATATACAATAATGAAATCTAATAACCTCTTATAGATAAAATTTCGACCCACACATTTATACTATTAAAACACAAGTTACAATATGTATTATGGTCTTTTAATTTTATGTTAAAACTTAAAATTAAAAGGTTATAATTTGAAGGGTTGAAACTTTTATTTTAAGTTACAACATAAAAAAAAAAAAAAAGATTTATTGTAAATTTGTTGCATTTGTATATTAAATTGAATTATGATCATTCAAATTAATCATTCAAATAGTTAGCAATTTATAGAAGAACCATATTTTCAATAATAGATGATTAGAAATAAATTTCTTTATGGCCTTATTAGTCATTGGAAGAATCTGTTGACCCCAAAAAGTGTTGCCAATAGATGCCGGTCCCACCCGCACATACGTGGGCTAATGTCCAACACGCTATGACACGTAGACGGTCTACAACGAGCGATTCAAAGGGTGTGGGAGTAGCCCAACGACGTGGGACGGTGATGTTCGGAATCCGGCGAGTTGTTCGTGATCCGATTATACAATAATTACCAACCGGTGTTCGTAGATGTTTATGTAAATATGTGTAAACTCGATTTGTGTATTGCAAGTAGACGAGAGAGAGAGAGAGTTGAGTAAAGTCTAATTCTTTGTATTGATTCTTGCATTAGTCATTTGATGTTACATAAGGGAAGTATTATAGTGATACATGTGAAATGGGAGCTCTTGGATAAGGTGGCACGTGGTCTCATCTCTTTGATTCAAACAACTTATCCTAGGCAGGGGGCTTGATTTGCTAGCTTGATGCGCATTTATTGTTTGTGCAGAGCCTCCATGCTAGTGAGAAGACTTGACCTTTATACTTATGAGAAACGTTCCATCAATCATTCGAATGAGATCTTTGTGTAGACGATCTCTTGGGAGAAGTGACCATGGAGGACGCTCCCATGTGGTTCGGAGGCTCCTGCATTAGCTTCGGGGCTTCGGCCATTTCATACAATACTTTCACTTGAGGGCTTCGGCTAACTTCAACCAGCTTTCGCATCATGGGGTCAGCCATAGGCCTCAGCATGTGGACCTCGATTACGATTATAGGCCTCGGTGAAGGGGGTATGCCTCGGATTGGAGGGCTTCGACCATAGCCCACCTCGGCAATATATACCGCCTCGGCTGGAATGCCACGTGGTTCGGCCTGAGTGGGCCATTGGCCCAGGTAGGTTGGCTAAGTATGACAATACTCAACAATAGTCCCCCAAGTTCAAGTATAGATATTTATGTCATGGTTGGAGTTTGAGATGTGCTGATGTAAGCAAATGATGAAGAGACCGAGGCTTTGTTGAGGTGGAAGCCGAGGTGGTTGGGGAACCGAACCTGCGAGGCTTGTAGGCCGATCGTTGAAGTTTAAGCTGAGGTGGTTGGAAAACTGAACCTGCGAGGCTTGTAGGCTGATCGTTGAAGTTGAAGTCGAGGTTCGATGGGAATGATTGTGCGTCGATAGCTGCGCCAGTGATTTGATGTTTTGTGCTTGTTTTCGAGGAAAAGCGGCTGACTCGTATGAGTTCCGAGGCACCTGCTGCCGTCAAATTAAAAACACAATTATGAGGACAGCTGGAGGTTCTAGAAGCAGACGCGTTGGATGGGGTGCGTGGGAGGCACGCTTGAATCTGAGGCGTAGGTTTGAAAAACCGTTTGAATTCAATGCCTCGGATTTATTCTTCAAGGGAGGGTTCAGATTGACCGAGATTTGATCTGACGGCTGGGGTTCGTCCTGGACCTCTATAAAAGGTAAGAGAATCCCATTTTTTAGGACTTTTGAAAATTTGCAATTTGATTATCTCTCAAAATCTCTAACTTTCAGGCGTCAAGACTGCCTGGTCTTTGATTTTCTGGCCTATCTCCGTTTGCGTAGTGTTCTTCCCTTAGGTGTTATTCATAGAAAAATCCCTTTTTGTTGTGTTAATTCAGTGAAATGGAGTCCACCTCGGGTAGGGAGCTGGTGACTGTAGCGTCGTTAGATTATGGGGTCAGTCAGAGGGGGGATGCCGAGGCTGATAGTTATGCCATGGCCAAGGACCCAGTAGATTATACTGAAGAGTGGGGGGCGTCTAGGGTGCCCTCAAGTATGACGTGAAAAAGGTTAGGAGAGATCAGGGAGAGATACAGTGTCCCCCATACCATAGAAATGCTAGTACTCGAGCCAAATGAGCGAGCCTGCTATCCGAGGCCCGGATGCGTGGCAGGCAGTAAATACCTGTTTAAGGCAGGTATGCATCTTCCTTTGCACCCCTTCTTTAGGGCGGTGTTGAGAAATTTTATGTTGTCGCCGACCCAAATTCTGCCAAATGGGTGGAGCCAGTTGGTCGGCTCGTACTTCCTGTGGAAGGAGGTGTCACTTGGGGAGGACATGCCTCTCTATGTATTCATGTCCCTTTTTCAGCCCCGGATCATAGGGAAGGAGTCTAGGGGGTGGTATTACCTTACACCTTGGGGGCTCACGCACCCTTTGTGGTGGGACTGCCTTCCTCCATTAAGGGGTGGAAGGAGTCTTTGTTCTGGGTGCTGGAAAAATGGCAGGTAGTGGAGGGGGACAAGGCCCTTTCTTGCACAGTGCTGACCCAGTACTACGAAACTCGTGAGTCTCCCAGCCCCTGCTTGTACTTCTGAATTGAACACTTAGAAAATTTCTAACTGTTGGGGCTTCCATTGCAGATTGTAGTATGAGGTTCGAGCTCAGCAGAAAAGAGTTCGAGGTGATAGAGGACATCTACAAGAGGCCTCTGAAGCTCTGCCACTTTGACCATCTGATTGACAAGAGTCGCTACTTCCTGGATTTTGGACTGATGGCATCCAGAGGTACGAGGCTCCCATAGTTGTAAATTTCTTTGTCCTTTTGATTGGATACTGATTTGCTGACCTAACGTTCTTATGCAGATAAATTCAAGAGGAAGGAGTACACGACTCCAGACATGGCTATAATTCTGAAGGCCACCACCACCGTCAAGGCTAGGGCCTTGAAGCCGGGGTCTAGTGGGGCCAAGGAGGTCCGAGGTAGGGTGGAGCGCCTTTCCAAGGACAGTACTCCAAAGGCTTCCGAAGAGGGAGTTTCCCAGAGGCAGGAGAGGCCAAAAGAGCCTTGGGGGAAAGAGAAGGTCCCAGAGGAGGCGAAGAGGAGGAAGCTGGTGCACGTTACTAGCTCGTCCAAGAAATTTGGGACATTAGTGTCCCACGAGGCCAAATCAACAAGCGAGCCAAAGCTGCTCGCATCCGCCTCCAAAGCCATCAAGTTAGAAATGGTCAGAGAGGCTGAGGCTGAGGAGGCCAGAGAGGAGGCTGCGAGGAGGGCTGCTGAGGCTGCCGAGGAGGAGGCAGCTAAACAAAAGCCTGTTCGGGAAAAGGGGAAGTCTCCAAGCTTCCTAGCTGGAAGGGAGGAGACCTTGGCCACAGCCTTGGTGGAGGCTCTTTCCCAGGAGGTCCGAAGTGCCACAGAGAGCTTTTACCGGTTCTGGACGGACAGGTGGCAGCTGCATGCCTCCTCCTACGATGCCACCGACCTAACGAGGGCTTTGGTGAGCCAAAGCGTCAGAACTTTCAGCCTCGCTCTTGAATGCAGGGAGGCCTTGAGTGATTTTCAGACAAGGACCCAGTCTTCGGAGGAGAAGACGGCCTCCCTTGCAAAGGAGTTGAAGGCGGCTAGGGCCGAGGCGGAAGAAGCTAGGGCCCCAAAACTTGAAGAAATGGTCAAGCTTGAGTCTGCCTTAGCCCAGATTGAGGCCTTGAAGAAGGAAGTCCATGAGTCACAGTACGAGGTGGCCTCCCTGACAAAAAAGGTGGAGGTCTCCAATGAGCACCAGAAAGTGACCGCCGAGGCCCTGGAGAAGGCAAATCTCTCCTTGGTGGGTGCCCAAGAGGCTAATCGGTTCTTGGAAACCCAACTCAAATGGTATGTGGATGATGCCTCCCACGATAGGGAGGAGGCGGTGCAGGAGTACGTCGCCAACTTCCATAATACAGAGGAGTATAAGAGCTTTAGTGCGTACTGGAGAAACTTTGCCTATGCCGAGGTGATGGAGCGGGCAGAGGAGCTGTATCCCAATTTGGATCTGACTCAACTTAGGTCTGAATTCGTGGATGAAGTACCTCAGACCCCCGCTGAGGAGGTGCAGGAAAATAACGCAGCTGAGGTAGAGGAGACCAATGCTGATGCTCAAGTTGTCGAGGCCCCAAGTACTGAGCGCCTCCCCCATCTACCCAGGCTTAGATTAGTTTTCTTTTCAGTCTTTCGAATGTAATGGCCTGAGGCCCACTTTTGTAATCCTTATTGAAGATTAATGTAATGCCTTTTTCTTTCATTGTTGTTTCTTTGTCCAAGTATACGCGCCTCGTTAAGCAAATAAACTTAAAAGTAGACAGAAGCACTAATAAAATAACATTAACTTGGTACCTTAACTTCAATCACTTAACTGGATTGGACAACTGTATGAGCCTCGAAACTTAAGCAAACGAACTTTACTTAAGCGTAATAACTGTATGAGCCTCGGACTTAGGCAAATGAACTTTACTTTAAGCGTAATAATTGTATAAGCTTCGGACTTAGGCAAATGAACAACTCCACGAGCCTGGGACGGTATGAGCCACGGACTTAAGCAAATGAACTTGACCTAGGCATAATAACTGTATGAGCCTCGGACTTAGGCAAATGAACTTTACTTAAGCGTAATAACTGTATGAGCCTCAGCCTGGCCAAAGGGAGTCGTGTGCTAGCACCTCGGATTTCAAGCGAGGTGGCCCAGAGATGAGACGCGAGCCTCTCCTCCGAGGTGATGACGCATCCCAGACATGGCGGATGATGCAACCATGTTGAGGCTTCTTCCCTTGGCGTTCAGCCTGGCCAAAGGGAGTCGTGTGCTAGCGCCTCGGATTTTAAGAGAGGTGGCCCAGAGGTGGGATGCGAGCCTCTCCTCCGAGGTGACGACGCATCCCAGACATGGCGGATGGTGCAACCATGTTGAGACCTCTCTCCTTGGCGTTCAGCCTAGCCAAAGGGAGGTATGTGCTAGCGCCACGGAGATCAAGCGAGGTGGCCCAGAGGTGGGACGCGTGCCTTTCCTCTGAGGTAACGACTCATCCCAGACATGGCGGATGGTGCAACCATGTTGAGGCTTCTCCCCTTGGCGTTCAGCCTGGCCAAAGGGAGACATGTGCTAGCGCCCCGGAGATCAAGTGAGGTGGCCCAAAGGTGGGACGCGATCCTCTTCTCTGAGGTGTCGAAGTAGTACAACACGTCAATTTAATTACTGAATTTTATTGAATCATACAAATGTTACAAAGGCTGGGAAAAGTCATCCAGCAAGATAGTACATTTATTGGTAATAGATTCTGAGGTGTTCAATATTCCATGGACGGGGTTGTGCCGTGCCATTCATGTCTTCTATCCAGTAAGTCCCAGGCCGAACCTCTTCTCTGATTTTGTATGGTCCTTCCCAGTTCGGGCCTAGGGAACTGGAACTAGGTTCCTTTGAGGACAGGAAGACCCTCCTGAGTACCAGGTTGTTGATTCAGAATGACCTCTTCTTGACTTTCGAGTTAAAGTACCTTGTCATCTTTCTCTGATATGTGCCGAGTTTCAATTGGGAGCCATCTCTTCTTTCTTCGATGAAGTCGAGGTCGAACCTCCGAAGCTCATCATTGGTTATCTCGCTGAAGTGCAGACGTCTCGTGGACGGAAGTCCGACTTCCACGGGGCTTATCACCTCAGTTCCATATGCCATGAGGAAGGGCGTTTCCCCTGTTGGGGTCCTTGTTGTGGTTCGGATCGCCCAAAGGGCTTGGGGCAACTCATCAACCCAGGTCTCTTTAGACACGTCAAGCTTCCTTTTCAGGACGTGCTTGATTGTCTTGTTCACGGCCTCAACTTGGCCATTTGCTTATGGGTGGTGAGGCGTGGAGAAGTGCTTCTTAATGCCGAGCTCTTCGCATAATTCTCTAACCTTCTTATTGTCAAACTGCTGTCTACCATTGTCAGGGACAATTGAGTAGGGAATCCCGAATCGACAAATAATATTTTTCGATAAGAACTTGGAGGTGTTGGCTTCAGTGATTTTTGCCAGTGGTTCAGCTTCGACCCACTTTGTGAAGTAATCAATAGCCACTATTGCAAAGCTTGCCCCTCCTCTGCCTTTAGGTAGGGGACCTATGAGGTCCACACCCCATTTTGAGAAAGGCCAGGGGCTGGAAACGACGGTCAAATCCTGCGATGGTTGTCTCTGCACCGGAGAGAAGTGCTGGCATTTATCGCATTTTCTTACAAACTCAAGGGACAAGGGTAGGCTAGTAGTATCCCTGCCTCAATATTTTTTGTGCTAGAGATAGACCTCCGGAGTGGTTGCCGCCAACGCCCTCGTGGACTTCTCTTAATATGTAAGTAGCCTCTTCTCCTCCGACGCACCATAGGAGTGGGGAGGAGAAGCTCCTCTTGTAGAAAATGTCATCAATGAAAAGGAAGTGGGCTGACCTCCTTCTTAGCTTGTAAGCCTCATTCTTATTAGTTGGTAGTACTTGGTCTTTGAGGTATGCTATGATTGGCTGCATCCAAGTGGGAGTTCCAGCGATCCACATTACTGTAGGGGCCTCGATCGAAGGCAGGAGGAGGTGCTTAATAGGTACTACTGTGAGTAGCTCTGAGTCTTTGCTACTAGCCAACTTCGAGAGTGCATCCACATGCGCATTTTCGATGGGAGGATCTGGATCAGCTCAAACTTTTCGAAAGATGGGATGAGGTTCATCACCATTTTCAGATAGGAGGCCATCGTTTTGTCTTTGACTGAGAAGTTACCGTTGACTTGGCTAACAACCAGCTGGGAGTCACTACTGATGAGTAGCCTCTTTACTTGCATTTCTGTGGCCAGCCTGAGGCCCGCAAGAAGTGCCTCATATTCTGCTGCGTTATTGGTAGCTTTGAATCCGAACCTCACTGCTGAGGTGAGTTTGTGACCTTCGGGGCTAATGAGGACAACCCCAGCACCTGAGCCGACTTCTCCAACTGACCCATCGATGAAGAGATTCCACGTGGGGGGCTTGGCGGGTTCCATGATTTCATCCACCTCGGGTAGGTTGGCGAATTCAGCCACAAAGTCAGCCAAGGCTTGCCCTTTTATGGCTGCCCTAGCCTTGAACACAAGGTCAAATTCACTTAGTTTCACTGTCCATTTCAATAACCTTCCTGAGGCATCGGGCTTTTGGAGTACCTGCCTCAGGAGAAAGTTTGTCAGTAAATGGATGGTGTGAGCTTGGAAGTAGGGTCTCAGATTCCTAGAGGCCGTGATCAAGGCCAAAGCGAGCTTCTCCATATCGGGGTAACAAGTTTTCGACGATAGGAGCGCTTTACTTGTGTAGTATACGAGGAGTTGGGTAGACCCTTCTTCCCGTATCAGAACCGAGCTGATAGCCTCATTAGAGACGGCCAAATATAGTTGTAGGATATCACTGGGCTTCGGTTTGGAAAGGAGGGGGGCCTGTCCCAGGTGTATTTTCAGGCATTAGAAGGCCTTTTCACATTCCTCAATCTATTGAAATTTCTTCCCAGCCTTCAGTACTTTGAAAAATGGGAGGCATTTGTCCGTGGCTTTGGAAACGAAGCGGCTAAGTGCGGCCACTCACCCGGTAAGACTTTGTACCTCCTTTGGCTTTTGAGGGGACCTCATTTTGCATAGAGCCTCAATCTTTTCGTGGTTGACCTCAATTCCTCATTGGTTGACCATGTATCCCAAGAATTTGTTGGAAGCTACCCTAAAGGCGCACTTGAGCGGGTTTAGTCTCATCCTATACCTTCTTAGGATTTGGAAAGTGCTGTTGAGGTGCGTCATGTGGTCCTCGGCCTCCAAACTTTTTACTAGCATGTCGTCTATGTAGACCTCCATTGTTTTGCCAATGCGGGGGTCAATCTCATCAATTACTTGCACCTCCGGATTAGGTGGAGCGTCGATCATATCAACATCTTCTTGTTCGGAGGGAGAATTACCTGGGACATCAGCCATGACCATGTCAGCTATGATTACATGGACGTCCTGGGGCTCTACCTTCCTGATGGAGCTTAGATAGCACTCTCTTGGGCCTCTTTGGTCGCCTCTCACCTTTGCCACCCCATTCTCTATCGGGAATTTCATGCATAGGTGGTGGATGGAGGTGACTGCTCCCAATTCCTTCAGGGCTGGCCTGCCCAAAACTCTGTGGTAAGCCGACTGGTTGTCGACAATGAGGAACTCCATAAAGTTCATCGTTGTCCGTGGGGATTCTCCCATCTCCACCTCAAGTGTTATCTTTCTCCTCGGAGTGATACCATCTCCGATAAATCCGTACAATGGAGTGGTGGTGGGCGTCAGCTGATGATCCAATATCATTTTGTCAAAGGCAGATCCGAATAGAATGTTGACGGAGCTGCCGTTGTCAACGAACATTCGTTTGAGCCCATTCCTGGCTATGACAGCCCTCACCACAAGTGCATCGCAATGGGGGTAATGAACTCCCACGACGTCTTCCTGGGTAAAGACAATGGGTGGAACCTGGTTTCTTCGGGAGCTGCTACCCACAATGTAGCTTGTCAAAGGGGGGTGTTTAGCCTCCAATGCATAATTCCTTTTAACGTTTTGTGTTTCACCGCGAACATACGAACCTCCAAATATGGTATCCACCTCATGGATAGGGGCTTCATCTCGAGCTTGCCGATTTCTTCGGTGCCTACACCCTTCCTTGGGCCTTTCTGTATCGTGCTCCCTTCGCCGTGGAGATACATCCCTTTGACGGAGAGCGGTCTCCTCACGCCCACGTCGGTTGTCGTGCCTGGGCGGGGGCCTGTTCGCCTGGGGCGAATCATGTCTGTCTCTAACGGGTTCCTACCGAGAACGTTGTACATAGTCTCTACAATTCGCTGTGTCATGCCCGTAGGACCTGTTGTGTACACAGTATCCTGGGGGTTCAGATTTGGCCTATTTCTAGGTCCAGAACCTCGACCTCGGCCTCTCCCCCGACGGGGTATCTCCTGGGCCTCCATCTAATGGGGGTCAGTAATTGGGTTGACGTCTTCATATGCCAAGGTGGGAATCGCATTCAAAGTGGTGGTGGCAAGTGCTTGACCAGAGTTCTCATTTACGGCCTGGTTCATTTGGTAGCCCATCAGGTGGGAGGTCGGGCCTCTACTGCACTGTCTTTGAAGAGGTGGGAGGCCTCTACTTGTCCTGCTCCTATGCTCAATCAATTCTTCATTGATGATCTCCCTTCTCATCATTTCGAGTAG